AAAAAAAAAGATATCTTGTTTTGTCTGACAGTCCAAAGATTTTTACATACAATGATAAAAAATTCAGTGTGAGAAGCAAGAGATTGTATGAATCACTGATAATCAAGATTGTTTTCAGTGAAGTTTCTATTTAACCAACTGATTCAATTGTTTCAGCGCGACACCTAGTTGTAGGTCAATATTTGTCCTTTAGGTTGGGAACAAATTTGATCGTTTTATCGCCATGTTGAACTGACTCTGGACTACATCTGGCAGGATTTATTCTTGCAAGATGTACTCTGGATAACTAACAAGAGCTCATTCGGGGTCACATCTTAAACTGTACTTTGCCCTGTGTGAACCAGGTTAGGCCAGCAGGTGACTGAGGCTGTCACGGTCCAGATCGGCCACGCAGAGACCCTCCTGCCACTGATCACCCTGCTGGGTTTCTTCAAGGACAGCGATGCCCCGACATCGACCAACTACGCCACGCAGACCCAACGCTCCTTCCGCACCAGCCTCATGTTGCCCTACACAGCCAACTTACTCCTGGTGCTGTACGACTGTGGAGGAGGCGACATCAGACTGCAGCCGCTGCTCAACGAGAAGCCTGTGACTTTCCCCGGTCTGGCTGATCAGAAGGCCTCCATGCCGCTCTATCAGGATGTGAAAAAGCACTACAGGGACCTGCTTCAAGGCTGCGACTTTGAGACTGAATGTCAGCTTTTCAAGCATCCTGCTTAAGTTTAGACGGACTGACTAGAGTCTGGAAAGGCAGGAAATATATTTGCTTAATTGCGTTTTATTTTGGAAAAAGGAGTGAGGATAATGTTTCTAATGGAAATAATTTAGTCTGAATGCTTCTGCCAAAGTACTCATGAGCATATCACTGTTTGACCTTTTTCCCCCCTAAGTGAAGCAATAACGAAGCCTTTCCGCTTCTTTCGTCTTGTGCCTTAAAAATGTCAGATCTGGTGTTTCTGGAGCACAGTGATACCAGCCAGAGGTCCCTTTGCCACCACAGTATTACAACTGCTATACTGCTTATTTTTGCAAAGCTTCTTCCCATTACCGCACAGCATTAAAGAATTTATTTTTGCAGTGTACACGTTTCATATGTTCTGCTTAAAAAGTTATTGATCATTGAGGTGAGGTGTTCTGACATTTGCGATCGCGACTGAAGCAACAGCACAGCTTAAACTAAAACGAGGTATACGTACGGTTTTACTAATGAGCCACTGAAGACTTAAGAGCCATGAAAGACAAACACCATATCTTATTAGATACATAAGAGAGCTTATGAGCTAGATTAAAACCATTTATTGATGATTTGTCGTCACTTATTACTGCAGACTCCATGGCTTATTAGAAAAACAGTTATTACCAGTTAACCAACACGTAACTACCACATAGAAAAGACACTTGCAATTGATATTGGAAATACCATAAATATACACTTTAGTCCCACAAAGCTGCAATCTCATCACCTAAAATGTGACAGACACTTAGTGATGCTGAATCCATCATACAAGCTCACATGAAGCTTTGCCAGCACTGACATGTTTGAATCACTTTTGATAGAAAGTTGTGAGACTATTTGCTATTTTGGACTTCTGTTATGTGAATATTTGTTGCCTTGGACAGATCTACAAACTTAAACATTTTAAACAATATTAGCAAAACAATGAATGAAGCCAATCATGGCAGCAGTTAGGTAGTAAGATAAGCACTGAGCTAATCAAACTGCATAACACACTGCGTGTTAACACAAGGACAACTGGCACAGGTTAAAGCTTATCACTTATTACTTGATGGCTTAGTAGGGAGAAAAAAAAAGAAGGGGAAGCACATTTATTGGCGGCTAACCATCATGCAAAAACCTTGCCAGAGGGCATGTCCACAACATGGCTTGTTGCATGTCCACTGAATAAAGCACATGATTTACCAAGCATCCATAAAGCAATTAGTTACGACAAATAAAGCCGTTACAGGAAAGTGCTCTGGTGGTGGTAATTTCCACAATGAAATGGTGTGTTTGTCTCTGATGTGGGCATTTAGACAGGCTTAAATCAAGGTTGAACAAAACTAGAGGTGCACTTGTAGATCACCTGCATGGTCTCACGTGGAGGCTCTTCTACCTGCAGAGCTTCTACTCTCGCGTTACCTTTGACCGTTAATCGCATACTATGAAACCACTGTTTACTCATCTCATTGTTAAGCTTCGTTTGCTTTCACTGCACTTATTTATTAGTGTGCTCCTTCGTGTGTCATTATCTCAGCCTGTGTTACTTCATTTTTTTGTGTGGGAACTTTCGCTAAATAACCACACTTTGCTGTTCCACTTTTTTTAAGCTAACTTAGCAGAACTAACTAGCTAACCGGCAGCTAGCTTAAAAAGTTACTGTTAGCTCATAGCTGGGTGTTCTTTAAACAGTTCGGAGACTACTTTTGAAACCCGAGCTGAGGTTTTTTTTATTTTTTTATTAGCCTCCTGGAGCGCCAAGAACAACTTTCACAACCCTTGAAGTAAGTCATTTCATCTAACGTTTTTCTCACACTGTAATAGCGTTTCGTGCCCAACCTCCGACCCAGTCCTGCCGGTTTCGGTGCTCGTCCCGTCTTGCCCCTTTTTTTGCATGGCTGGTATACGATAAATTATGCAGATTTGTGGACGTCGGAGAAGGGAGGGAGGCTGGGAGGGTAGGAGGCTGGGCCAGCGGAATGCTACGTGTCTTGAAGTCCCTTTTAAAAACCCCCATCCGCCTTCTTCGATTACCGTGGCCGAAAAGTTTTACAAACCGAAGGCGAGCGGCATCCAGGCCTCCGTGCGTCCGAGCCCGGTGTTCAAGCAGCAAGCAAGCAAGCCCCATCGGCGGCGTTTGTACACTTAAGAGCGAAATGTCCGGGGTGAAAAAGCTTCGTACGGTGAGTAGATGTGGAGATAACGGGGTAGAAGGAGGAGAGGAGACAGCTGAAATTGAAGCTGTCATCAGATAGGAGCAGAAATGTTTCGTGTAAGTGCAGCGAAGTGTGTGCGAGATGTAAAACTCCTCCCAAGAATGTGGCAAGTAAGTCTGAACACCGATCACCCGTTATGTGTGCTGCTGTTACCAAACCTCAGTCTGATGATCGCACAGTGACATGTAAACTCTGTCTTTTTTTCCCCCTCTTTAAAATGATTGTTGCTTTCTTCTTCGCAACGCCATGTTCACTTGTATGCCTCTTTACTGTACTGCCAGGTGTGATGCTATAGACTCGCCTCGACTCTTGAATAGGCCAGTTGTAGTAAGTGATCCATGTGAATTTGGTCCATTCATAACACCGGGTGTCTTGTGAGGAGGTGGAGAATGAAGCCACTGTGACACGGCAGGGCTGATGCTGCACAAGGAATGCTGCAAAACTTGGAGAACATATGTTGGACTCACCCAAAAAGAAAAATTATGAGACAGCCTGAAATCTGCAAAATGACCTAAACTGTAAAGCTTGTGCAGTATTTCCATCCTCGGAGCTGCCCCTGGTTTCGTCCCATAAAGCTGGAAATTATATACTTATTCATCAAATGAGCTCACTTAGATCTTTGTCCGCAACTCTTCGGAGAAATGAAAGGTCTGAGTCACTTTTCAAGGGGGAACTTGTGAAATAGTTGCTGCTTCAAACTTCTCAAATGTCGCCCTTTTCTGGATTTTGAACAGTTGGTTGGACGGAACGACAAATTTAAATATGCAAACTTTGGTATTTTTCACATTTGTCTTGGGAAATTGTCAAATAATTGCTGCTTCAAACTTCTTAAATGTGAATATTTGCTGCTTTTTTTTTGTGATTTTGAACAGTTGGTTGGGCAGAATAACAAATTTAAATATGCAAACTTTGGCATTTTTCACATTTTTCTTGGCGAATCAATGAATGAAGTCATTAGTTGCGGCCCGAAGACATGCACTGAGTTAACCGAGCATTTAGCACAGCTCAGAACTTATATTACAGCAGACTTGATGGCTTATTAGAGAAAGGGAAACCCATTTTATTACCCGGCAGAAAAGAACAAATTTTATATACATGGCTTGTAGCATATCCACAGAATGAAGCACATGATTTACCAGTAGCTACGTCCGTTATTGCTGTACATATGCCCTACGTTGAGTAATTCCAGATTACTTGATCATCATCTTTTTCGTCAGCTGCGATTTCCTGAGAAAGAAGGATGGAGGCTGAACGTGGAGCAAAGGGGAAAAGAGTTACATAAGATCTTCCACATTGATTTTTAAGGGAATTATTTGACAGGGATGAAGTTCAATGTGCTTTTCAACAAGGCAGTTAAAAGGGAAAAGCAAAATAAAATGAGCAAAGGGCTGGAAAAAAAAGATTAAAATGAAATTAGATTAATAATATAAAGTCAAGTTGTGGTTTATTTTTGCAAACACATGTATAAAAAAGGGAAAGGCGGCTAAATTTTTTTAGATGGATAGTGATTAAATCAAAGAGCTGTGATTTTAATGACAGTACCAAGACTTGTAAAACACTTTATGTTGAAAGGAAGCTGAAAGGGAGGAAGGGAAGACAAGAAGTAGTGTATTGGTCATGCGATGGAAAGGAGAGAAGGTGTCTCCTACATTTGAAAGAATAGTGCTGTTTGTCTACGCCTCACCCACATTGTGCGGGTCAGTACATTGTTAACATTGTGCATCCCCACCCTCACTCGGGTAGCGGTTATAACACACCGTGATGTGTGTCGAGTCAGGGTGGTGGGGTTTTTTTTTTTCTGGAATCAAGGCTGTGTTTGTATGTGAAAAGGGGGCTCATTAAACACAGGTGACTAAAATCGTGTGAGGGCAAATGGCAGGGTTTTGGTGTGTTAAAGTGCTGTAACGCTGGGTGGACAGGTTAGAGGCGTAAGGATGTGGGGAAGAAGGGAGAGTGGGTGCAGAGGGCGAACGTGTGGGCACGAGCACTGCCACATCATCGCTGGGCTGCAGGCAGCACACTGGACACATTGTCCAGTCAGTCCTCTCCCTCCCTCCATCCCTGCTATGCCTCCCTTCCCCACCCCTCCCCTTTAGAAGTCAATACAGCCCCATTTATCCACAGCCTGGTCTACGTAGTCACTTTAGACACGGCATGTAAAACCAGTCTTATTCGGCTAAACCGACTTTCAATCACTCTGCCAATTTCCGTGATGTGCGAGTTCGCACGACACCTTAGTAAAATCTTATTAACTCGGTCCAGTGCTGCATTTCTGTGTCTACAATTTCCTAGTCACAGTAGATTTGTCCACAGGTGATACGAGACTTGAAATACTAAGTAGAACAGACAAAGCAGAGGTGGGATGTCTGTGTGGGTTAATAGGTAATCTGAGCTGAAGACATTTACGCTCAGAAATAGGTCACCTCTGTTTTATACATCGAGGTATTTGTGTCAGTTGTGTCTTCAGATAGCGTCCGTCTGAGCCGCTATTCTCTTGTCTTTTTTTTTTTTTTAGGATCTCAACAGGTCGACCAATGTGGTGTACCAGGCCCACCATGTCAGCAGAAGCAAGAGAGGCCAAGTCGTGGGGACCAGGGGTGGCTTCAGGGGCTGCACCATCTGGCTCACCGGTAAACTCTTACATAATGTCCACCCCTTAGTTATCAGGTGGCTCATTCTTCAGCCACATAGAAACCAAGGTTTAATCTGAAACGCGCTACGCTGCTCACTTTACCCACTGCGCTTATCTGACCAGGTCTGTCTGGCGCTGGGAAGACCACCATCAGCTTTGCCCTGGAAGAGTATCTTGTGTCCCACGCCATCCCTTGCTACTCACTGGACGGAGACAACATTCGCCACGGCCTGAACAAGAATCTGGGCTTCTCCGCCGAAGACCGCGAGGAGAACATCCGGCGTGTCGCTGAAGTGGCCAAACTGTTTGCCGACGCCGGCCTCGTGTGCGTCACCAGTTTCATCTCTCCTTTCGCCAAGGTCAGAAAACATGGACATTTACGTTTTGGTGCATAATGTAGCTGCTCATTTAAAAAACTGAAAACTTTATCTAACAAAGGCTAACACCTGATGATCTAAAAGGTTTAACGAAAGATTTTAAGTTTAAATTAAATATGCTTACTGTTTTTACCCTCCC